CTCGTTATATATTTCTTAACAAATTAGGAAACCAATTCCATACAGAGAGATTATATATCTTTCCAAATCATACAAGAAGATGGATCACAATCCTATAAATACAGAAAAACTCTTTGATAAGTGATTTATAATTCCTTTGCTACAAGCCACAAGGCATCATTATGGCAAGAAGCCATTCATGGTTTGATCTCCAAACTAATATCTTAACCAAAGTCGCCGAACGTCTCTCATGTTCTAATCAATGTCGTTTTGGTGCAGCATGTAAAAATTGGCGAGTTGCTCTGGATGGGGTTGAACAATGTGCAATTATGCCCCCTTTAATTCCTTGCAGTTGGGAATATTATGGTCAAATCTTTAGCGCAGTAGTGGAGATCTTTGATCGGTCATCTAAGGAAACTTGCTCTCTTGAAAGCATGATACCTAAGGAAAAGAGAGAATTGTTTGTCCGCGCGACCATGTTTATAGGTTTGAAACATGGTTGGTTGTTTTTGGTACATTTCAAAGGCACCGCGGCAACGTTCTTTTTCTACAATCCTTACTGCAACAGGATTATAGAGCTGCCTCCACTAGCTTGATTCGTCGCGAAAAGATTGGACTAGAGTTAAAACTTTGGGAAAGAGAGTATTGTTTTTGGGGCGTTCGTCTTCAATTGCCAGTCCAACAATCGGGGTGGCGAGCGAATTTGCAAACATGATATTTTGGCGTAACTATGATGGTTGCTATGATTCTTATGCTTGCAAAACAAAAGGAGAATGGAGAGGTTATTAAAGATTTTATTCTTTTGCAAGCATAGTCAACGTAAAATGAACCTTCTGAATTTTTGTATGATCATATTCGTTTTATTAGTTCCTGAATTTAGACTCAATTTGCATTTTTGAGTCCCTTAATTTCCAAAATCATTCTCGTGGTCCTTCAACTTCAGTTTCGTTATGACAAATTATTCTGCTATCAATTTTGTTAACTTTTCTGTTAAATGCAAGGGTAAAATTGTATTTTTATATTTTTTTAATTTTAAATTAATTAAAATAAAATATGAATAAAATATTTATAAAAAAAATTTAAATATCTCTCTCTCTCCCCGCGCGACCCAAGACCCATTTGTGCCTTCCCCAGCCATATCCACCCTCGCTAGCTCTTTGCACCCACCAACCCTGCAACCCATTGGTGTAATTTTCATGGGTCTGTGCGAGAGAGAGGGGTTTGGGGAAGGGGCTTTAGGTTTCAAACAACCCAGATTTTAAGTGGGGCGTGAAGGTTGGTCGGAGATCGAGAGACAGGGTGGCGATGGTCGAGATTGGGGTTGTGATGCTGGTAGGGTTCGGATCTAGCGGAGAATGGGGTGTCACTGGCTGCTGGGATTTGGGTGATGCTTTGTTTTATTAGTTGTTGTTGAAGCAGTAGAGGATTTGGGTAGAGATAAAAGGTCGAACAAAAAAAAATTGAACATGTTTGCAGAGAGAGAGAGAGAGAGAGAGAGAGAGAGAGAGAGCATTGGAATGGTTGAGCTGGGGATGGGGAGTTATTGTTCTAGGTCGGTGAGATAAGGGGTTGGCTATGGTGATTGGGTGTGTAGAGTAAATTTTTTTTAGGGAGAAGATAGAGAGAGGGTGGGCTGCTGAGAGGGGAGGCGGCAGTGGGGAAGGGGGTGGTCTTGGGTCTGGGGGAGGAGGAGAAGTTGGGTGGTGGTCGTGGTGGGAGAGTTGTCTGGGCAAAATGGTGGTCACTGGTCTTGGTGGGAGAATCTTTTGGGCAAAATGGAGGTCATGGTGGGACGGTGGGGTTGGGGACAAGGTTGCCAAGAAAGAAGAGGAAAAAGAAGGGGCAAGTGGTGAATTTTTTTTTTTTCATTTTTTAATTATGATTTTTTTTATTTATAGTTTTTAGGAATAAAAACTAATTTTTAATTTTTAGTTTGACTGAGGATAGAATAAGATTTTTAAATTTTATTTTTTTTGGGTAAAATGAATATTTAGCAATTGAAAATTAAAAATAATACAAAAATATCATTTTACCCCCATATTTAACAGAAAAAGTTAACAAAATTGACGCTAGGAACGATTTTGGAAATTGAGGGAATCAAATGCAAATCGGATCAAAATTCAGGGACTAATAAAACGAATAACCCTTTATTTTATTGTATTTATATGGCCACAGTCAATTGTCTATCTTAACTTAATTTATACATTAATATTCTACCATTCACAAACTCAACTTATTACACTCTTCATTTTATGTTTTTTCCATTGAGAAATTTTGGGATTATATTCATAATTCAGCCAAAAAAGACACTAGAGAGTTAGCCACGGAGTGGGAGTTAGTTGGTGGTTCTACAATTCTTTATTATTATTATTATTATTATTATTATTTTTATACAGATGAGTATAAATGTTATTTTCTTAAAAAATAAAAACCCGAATTTTATGTTGAAGCATAACATTGAATAAAACGTCCCCACTCGAACCCTATGGGAAATGTATTAAGGGTAGGAAAAAAAATATCTTAGCCAGAAAAGAATCTTTTCCATGATTGCCAAGGGAGAAATCCACCTGGAAAAAAAAAATTACGAAGAATGTGAATTAATTTGACCACAAAAAAAAAAAAAACAAAACAAAAACAAACAGAGGGGTTCGATCCCAAAAAATAATAAATAATAATGAGAAACAGATTTTTTCAGCCCCTTGAAAGCAAAGGATCTGAACACATACCACATCCAGGACATTTGACGTAGTCTTCTTTGGTCAAAACAAGCCCTGACCCTCCACATACCTCACATCTTTTCTGTGCTATCTAATGTATATATGCATAATCATCAATACCATATTATACATGAATTAATTATGAACTCTGGAAAACTTACTATTCTTTTGCTGAATTCAATCCCAGCCACCGCAAAAGGTGTAACTCCAGCTGCCCATGCACCAAAAAAATAAATCAAAATTCAATAATTAAAAAAGAATTTATAGTAGTTATATAATTTAAGAGTGAAAATATACCTATGGCTCCAACAACAATTTGCCAAGTGATGGCAACCGGGGTTGGATCTGCTACAACCGGAACATCATGAATTGCTGCAACCCTCCAAGCTTTTGTGCTTGGTTTTTTGATAGCTAGCTGCTGGTTCTGGTTGCATGGTTTTCTGGTAAAGCTTGCATGCTTTGAGATGTTAAGGCTTCTTCCTAAGAGAGTGTTGTTGGAGGTACTTGGAGTTGCCATTTGTGTGAAGGAAGAGACTGCGGCTTGCATATTTGGTTGTGTGATGAGTTGAGAGAGAGAGGGTATCAGCTGAATTGAAAGTCACCACCGCTTCATATTGGGCCACGTTGCATCTACGCACTCACCCACTCATTCATTAGGCAATGTGGATCACATATATATTTGCGATTGCTTGTGCCCTTTTTCCCTCATTTTTGCCCTTAAAAAATTCCCTCAATGTCATTTCAAATTTGATAATTATAATCTCATAGTTTTATAATTTTAGCAATTAAGTCCAAATTAAGGGTAAGCATTCGTTTTTCTCTGTAACATATGTCACAGATTTATTACTGAGATTTGTTTAGACTAAATTAAAGACTTCAATTATATGAAGTAACGAATTGAGGACTTATGGTCAAATTTTTTTTTTGGCTTAGATGCTAAAATGGTCCCTGTGCTTTTCAAACAGATTTATTCTGTTAAAATTGCCGTTATATATGAACATGATAATCTTTTTTTTTCCTTTTGACAACCTATAAAGCGTTTTTTAATTAAAAATTTTGAATTCATTTAAAAATATATCAATAACATGAGAGACGTTCTTAGCAAGTGGAGTAGTGGACAAATGGCTAGGCAATGGTTGGGTTGGGGAAGATCTCGCTGGGAG